GATGGTTACCGTGGCTCCTCCTAGAGGACAGCCAGGCCAACCGGACAGGTGAACAAGGCGCCTGTCACTGAGCCTGACTTTTAATAAACTAGCCCTTGGTGGAGCTTTGCATTTTCTGTCCTAGGCTTGTCTTGATAGAAATCCTGAAGCTTTCCAACCAAAAATCGGGGCAGGCCGAGTGGGGGACGTGAAGCCTCGACACAGCAAGGGGTGTCACTGCAAGAGGTCGGGCTGCCTGAAGAACTACTGCGAGTGCTATGAGGTGAGTCCGTGCCGTCCTGTGTGACCTGAAAACAGGGAAATACGTGGCCCAGGTGACTCTGGTCATTTTCTTCCTTCCAGGGTTTCTACAGGGTGTTCATTGATCTGCAGCCATTTCTTAAATAAAATTATACGTCTTAGGAATCAAGGAATTAACTAGGCTTCCTATGGGAGCCTGTCCCCTTCCCTGAGTCCACCGCGTCCAGGGGAGGTGCCCACCACCCAGCTGTGCCCGCTCTGCGGCTGCGGCTCTGACACTGGGAGCCACACTTGGTGGCCAGCAGAGCGGGGCAGTGGGGACACGTTCCCAGGTGAACATTTGCCAGGGTGCTCGGAGTGGGCAGGCAGCTCCTCCCAGCTCAGCCCCTCGGAGGCCAGAGTGGACAGTCGTAGATCATGCGTACATGCAAATGTAAAGTTATTTAAGGTCCAAACAGAATTTGTTATTTTTGAACAGTTACAGGGCAACTTAATTTCATTGAAGCATTTTTTATTTCCAGGCCAAAATCATGTGTTCCTCTACCTGCAAATGCATTGGTTGCAAAAACTATGAAGAAAGCCCAGAACGAAAACCGCTCGTGGCCGCGCCGAGCTACCTGGAAGCTGGAGGCTCGGAAGGCGGCCCTCACCCGTCAGGACCACCGAAGCTCAGGGCCGAGAGGTGGGTCCCCTGAGCTCACCCCCTGTGGGGAGACGGCTAATGCGAGGGAGTTCATTTATACACCGCAAGGCGTGTGTGCCTGCAGGGCGGGCGCCGGGGCGGCAAGAGGGCCCCCCCCTTCCAGACCGACCCTGGGCCCCACACTGGCCTCAGAGGCCCCGCCGCTTTGTCCTGCTTGTCCCGCCAGCAAGGGCCCTGCGGGGCCACCAGCAGGCCGCTGACTTCAGGCCGCGAGAGCGCGGCGTCCAGACGGGAATCCGAGCCGCTCGCTGCCGCGTGGACGGCCACGCAGAGGGGTCGGGGTGCAGCTGCGTTCTCACCCAGTGGTCAGGGACCCGTTTAGTTGGGTATTTTCCCACCTAATTATTTTGAGGCCATGTGATCCTAGCAGGTCTCAAAGGCTGAGTAGCAATTTTATGATATGTTGCACTAGGCTCGTCTCTGCGTTCGGATGTCATCAGCTAATTAATGTCATTGACAGGCCAGGCTCACGCTTACTGGTTAGGGAGATGCCAGGCGTGTGCACGTTGGGCCTGCAGGGCCTGTGTCGCAACAGTGACCCAGTGTGGCCCAGTCCTCTGTGAAACACAGGTGACAATGTTACCTCCCCCACCGGGACCACACGTGTCCCATGGGGTGTGACGCAGGCTCCGGGCCGTGGGCTCTGGTCTCAAAATGTGACGACTCCTCTTGACAGGGGGCAGCCCTGTTCCTTCACCTTCAACAGAGGCCCCTGCGTGTATCCTTCTGGAGGATTTTAACCAATCCCAACATCTATCCCTATTTTCATATCCAACACTTTTTAAACTTTATAGAGTTGTCCTAAAAGGTTTCAGTGTGAGCAGGACTCGTGCTAAGCCGCCATCGAGAGGGTGCCGAGAGGCTGGCTCACCTTCCTCCGTATTTTTCTTCTAAAAGAATCCTTAGTATTGTCCCAGTGACAGCGTCCAGTATTAGGAAGACAGCACTCGCCCGTACCAGGGACATTCTTTAAAACGCCATGACAAGCATGTCCCCCGACCGTAACCGGCGTTGGAAAGCCGTGGCCTTGGACCGCAGCCTTCCCCGCTGTGTCCCTGCAGGCGGCCCTCGTGCATCTCCTGGGAGGTGGTGGAGGCCACGTGCGCCTGCCTGCTGGCTCAGGGCGAAGAGGCCGAGAAGGGGCGCTGCTCCGAGGGCCTGGCCGAGCAGATGGTCCTGGAGGAGTTCGGGAGGTGCCTGTCCCAGATTCTCCACATCGAGTTTACGTCGAAAGGGCTGAAGCTGGAGTAGGAGGAGGCGGGTGGGGGTGCCCCCGGCCTGGACGCAGTGTCTGGGAGCCGTCGAGGTTGCTTCAGGGACACGGGGACGGGTCTGCGTCACCAGCTATATCATTGAGGTCGAGGCGCCCTCTGCGTCAGGAGACCAAGGGGGCATAGTCTGGGAGGGTGTGGCCATCCAAGGCCCCTGTGTGAGGACATGCCTGACGTGGCCGCTGTTGTGGGACCAGGAGGGAGCAGGGGTCCCCGGGACCGTGGGGAACCCTCTGCACCGACACTGAGTGCTGGAGGGAGGTCCCATCCCGCTGATCTCGCCCCCCCATCGGGAACTTCCCCCTGGAGCCTTCTCTGCATAGAAAGCCATAATGAATTTCCCCAAGTTACTTAGAAGTAAAGCCTCCAGGGGGGCTGCTAAGATACAAGTTAAAACCTCCAGAGAGGAGCTGAGCACCCCGAAGAATCCGAGTCAGGCGTGTCCCCAGGGTGGCAGGTTATCAGCCCCTCTAAGGTCCGGGATGCAGGACAGCCGGTGGCAAAGGCCCAGTTTTCATCTCAGCATCTGAGCTGTGGGCCTGAAAGTTATCTAGTTTCTTAAGTGTTTCTGTTTGAGTTGTGGGAGAGCTTTTATCCCATTAACTTCTCCATAGTTACTGTGATGATGTTACTGTTGCTGGTAAAGTGTGGTTAAAATAACTAGTTTGCAGAAACCAGGTAAGATTGGCTATTAAGTTGACTCTCTTGGTTCTATCGTAAAAGTAAAAAAGAAAAATCTCAGCTGTGTCACGGTTGTAATTAACTCCGTAATGAAGTCACGGCTCGGCCTGTCCGGGGCGCAGGTGCAGGCCCCTCGTGCCCGGGGCTCGGCCCAGGCCCAGCAGAGGGAGCTGCACCCGGAGCAGCTTGGTCCTGGGCCTTCATTCTTCCCCGTGTGGACCCCCTTCCTCCCGTCGGGACCCAGGCTCCGAGGCGAAAGCCAGAGGTAGAGACAGTACTGGGGGGGCGGGAACAGAGGTGGGGACAGGCAGGGGCCCCGCCGCCCCCTCAGGGCTGGGAGGGCACCGGGATGGGGCTCTGGGCCTCCTTTCGGGGGCCACCTTCCTCCCCACTGCGCTGCTGACGGCAGCAGCCGCGGCCACACAGGCAGCTTTAAATTCCCAGTTGACACGTTTTATTTTTTTAAATCGTAACCCAAGGGTATTTTTTCCATTGCTTTTCAGAGAGAGTGGAAGGGGGAGAGAGGGAGAGACATCGATGTGAGACACGCACTGGTCGCCTCCCGCACGCGCCCCACCCCGGGCCGGACGGAGCCTGCAGCCCGGGTGCGTGCCCTTGACTGGGATCGAACCCGGGACCCTTCAGTCCGTGGGCTGACGCGCTAACCACTGAGCAGCTACCTGGGGCCCAGTCGCCACATTTTGAAAAGTGAAAAGGAACAGGTGAAACTTGATTTAACGATCTTTCACTTACCCAATATACGCCAAACACTATCATTCCAACCTGTGACCAAGTGAAAAGGACGGCGCTGTGACACGCGCACCCCGACCGTCACACCCGCGTGTCCACACTCAGCCGGCCCTGCGCAGGCGGAGCGGGAGGGAGCGGGCCCGGGCGCTGGCCTGACCTCGAGCCCGGGGGGAGCCCGCCTGCACCAGCCTGGTCCTCGGGCTGGGCACCTCTGGCTGCAGCGAGTGCGCTGAGCTAGAGCCTGAGCCCAGGGCCGGGGGCTGGGGCTGGGGGATTGAGCAGGTGGCTCAGCTCTTGTAAGAGTCGGTGCGGGTGTGTGAAGTCCTGTGATGTGGCCCAGAGGCCCCGCGTGGTCACTGAGCAAACCGGCTCCATCGCCCTGGTTCCTCCGGGCCTTCAGGTGTGACTCTCCTCAGGGGACACAAGGCGCCGCTGGTTCACGGAGCCGTCCCATCTGCTGGCTTCCGGCATCGTCAAGGCATCTCCTCCCCTGCCACCAGGTTAAGGTTTCCGGGACACTCGCCTTCCTACCTGGACCACACGAATTTTAATACTGGCCCTGTGGGTCCCCGGGTCACTCCCGGCCTCCCCCTGCCGGCTCTGTTCCGCTTATCACTTGTCACACTCAGGACACCAGACTCCTCACGGGTCACGTTTCCTGTTGCTCCTGACATTCTGGGTCCGTCCCCTGAAGTGTCAGCCCCACAAGGGCAGTGTCGGGCTGTGTTTCTCTCAGTCACAGACACCTTCCTGAGTGTGTGACTCTGCTTAACCTGAAGGGAACCGTTCCCGACAGGCAGGGGCCGGAGGCGGCTCTCAGATGCTCTTGACGATGGGATTCGGGTTTAAAACTTTTATCTAATTACGTGGTTACAACCGAGCTTTATGTTTCCTTTTTTAACCCTCACCCGACATGTTTTTTATTGATTTCTTAGAGACAGGGAAGNCCGACATGTTTTTTATTGATTTCTTAGAGACAGGAAGAGAGAGAGAGAGACATCAGCCGGTTGCCTCCCTATGCACCCCGACCTGGAATCGAACCCGCAGCCTTTTGGTGCGTGGTGGGAAGACGCTCCAACCACCCGAGCCAGGGAGCCAGGGCTCAGCCTGGCCTTTAAAGCACACTGGCGGTGGTGACAGGACAGGCGCGAGGAAGAAAGACCACGAAAGCACTTGCTGGTTTTTATTTTGCCACTCGGAGTCTTCACAAGGGAAAAACCTTAAATTACAACAACCTGGCATCAAAGCGGAGGGGACGGGCTGGTCGCTGGGCGCGAGTTGGCACAAGCCGGCCCATCCCCTTACAGCCGCACTTCCCGGGACGCGGCGACACTGCCCGGCTCCCTCGGGACTGACGGCTCCGCGTCTTCCGAGGAAACAGCCGCCGGAAGCATGGGCTCCAGGGCCCCAGGCTCTGCAAGGGATGACACTCGGTGACGAGCCCCCACCGTCCCCACGGAGGGTCACGGCCCCAGCACAGGCCACGGCTGCTGGGGCCCAAACAAAGCGGGACCCAGCGTGTCCTAGCCCCCCCCCACGTGCCCTTGAAACCCTCGGGCTCCCACACGCGTGAGGAAGCCCGCCTCCTGCCTGAGGAATAAAACGCTCTCTCCTAACGAAGTAAGTTCCATGCTACAAAATCCAAAGTCTGAAGTTAAAAACACGGGAAGAGTCGATGGGCTCCTGCTGGGAAGTCACCGGCAGAGACCCCGCCGAAGGCTCCACTGGGCTCACACAGGGACAGTGGTCGCTGCCACGTCAACAGTTCCCGAGTGACCTGAACCCTGAGGCCCCCTCTTCCTGGGAACAGTGTGCCCAGCAGCAATCCCAGCCCCGGGAGCGGGTTCCAGTCGCGGGTTCCTAATCCCAGTCAACAGTGGTGACGTTAGGCGTGCGGGGATGGTGACAGCAGACGCCTACGGAATCCCTCCCTGAGGCATTTTGGGTGCCCAGGGCTCCGGAGGTGGACATGCAAACCGGTCACACTTCACGTACCTCGGAGATGCAGTAAGGTCAGGAGGTCGATCATCTTGCTCACACGGTCATCCCCAGGCAGTGGCCGGTCAAAGCCACCTGGGAACCAGAAGGGACAGCGCTCACGACCTCCACAGGCGCCCCGGGCGCCCCGAGGTCAGTGCGCCCCGGCATCTTCGTGACCCTGGGCCCCTCCCGGAGACCACGCATCCAGAAGGCCCCTGCCGACCCTGCGCGGCCCCAGCACCGCACTCGGGTTCTGCTGCTTCTGTTTCCAGCAGTGGCCAGATGGGGCCGGGTCGGGCCAGGCCACTGCCCTGCACGCCCCAGAGGTGACGGACGCGGAATGACCCGGAGCCCCGGACTAAGTCCCCTCACCTGCCCTGTCCGTGTCTTCAGGCTGCAGGTCCCGCTTGCCGGCCAGGCTGTGCCTGTCGTGGAATGACCTGTGGTTGTCAACGGCATCTGTTTGGGATGGGACAGGATAAAACCTGAGTGCGTTACTGTCCTCGTGCCCCCCCTCTCCCCCCCAAAAAGGCCCTACGGCTGCCTGTCATCAAAGCGCTCAAGGAGCCGACGGTAAAACTACAGCCGAGTGTGGAAGCCACAGCCCAGGGAGGGACACGGCCCGGGGGACCCGACGTAACAGCTTGTACCGGTGCCGGGGGCCCAGGGCCCAGTTCGTCACAGCTACTGGGACTCTCCAGGGCCAGGGCCCAGGGGAACACAGGCCTGGTGCAGCAGGGAGCGCAAGGAGGCTCCCAGGGGTGCTGCAGACCACCAGGGCTGGGGCCCTATGTCCCTGAACACAAGGGGGGCCACCGAAGAATTTTAAGTTCTGACGTAATCAGCTTTTCTTTCAAAGACCACTCTGGCAGCTGTGGAGGAGATGGCTTTGAGCCAGGGAGAGGGACAGAAACGCTCGCCGGGGGTTGGGTAAGCTGCGTGACTGTGTGTGTGTGGTGGGCGGTGTGGATCTTGAGAGATCCCTTAAGAAACTACTGGAAGAGCCCGGCCGGGCGTGGCTCAGCGGTTGAGCGTCAACCTAGGATCCAGGCGATCAGGGTTCGATTCCCGGTCAGGGCACATGCCTGGGTTGCGGGCTCGATCAATGACTCATCACTGATGTTTCTCTCTCTCTCTCCCTCTCCTTTCCTCTCTCTGAAATCAATAAAGATATATTTAAAAAAAA